CATAAACACTTAAACTAAAAACATAAATTATACCACCTTGTCCCATACCCACATAAGTGTCTGAGTGACGAACAACACAACGGGAGAGGAGATACACCACACCGGAGATCACAGCGAAGTCCAACAGAGAGTAGCAGCCAACTTAGACGAGCAGTAGCTCGTGGAATTCTGGCTCACGCCACACTTTGCAGTGTCAACAAGGAGGATTAGGACAGAGTTGAACCAGGGTTGTTCGCGGTCTCTGATCCGAGGATTGGACAGAGGGGCAAACGACTCCTTTGATCGTAACATCTATGCATTAGGATTTAGGCAGCAGTGCAATCCGGTACAGTATGTGCGACTGAGCAGCCCTTTTCAGGAGCCACTCTACTCACCCTACATGGGGAGGGGGCTAGAAAGTGTGCCCTAAACATAGCCTGCCTGAAGAACCAACCTGACTGGGCAACCGCACCTAGTAAGGTCATCCTTATGAGGTCGAAAACATAATTGCAGATCAAAGAAAAAACAAATTATATAACCTCTTATGGTCGCTGCATGGAATGTCAGGACCCTTCTGAATATTGGAACAAATGAGCGTCTTGAAAGAAGAACCGTCCTTGTGGTAAAAGAGCTGTCAAGGTATAAACCATCGACATAACAGCCATTAAGGAGCACCGGCTCCCAGACGGGGGTCGACTCACAGAACATGGGTCCGACTGTACCCTCTTCTGGAAGGATGAGCCTGCTGCAAAGAGAAACCGCATTTATGAGTTTGACTTTGCCATTCGCCAATCCACCCTACACAGGCTAACTGAAATGCCTGTTGGGATCAACGAGCGCCTCATGATGCTCCGAGTTCCATTGAATGACTCATGTCATGCCTTCTTCATCAGTGGATATGCCCCAACACTGGAGGCAGAGAATGATATCAAAGAGGCCTTTTATGCTGACCTTGACAGAGTGCTAACCTCTATCCCCAGAGAAGATAAGGTTGTGCTCCTAGGTGACTTCAATGCCAGAGATGGCAATAGATGCTGACATATAGCAGGGAACTATAGGGACAAACGGAGTGGGCAAGTGTAATCCCAACGGGCTATTCCTCCTCAGCACGTGTGCTGAACACAAACTCCCATCACCATCACCTTGTTTAGGCAGGCCGACACGTTCAAGGACTCTTGGCAACACCCGCGATCCAAACACTAGCATCTCATTGACTATATCATTGTCAGAGAAAGAGATCGGAGAGATGTCCTCCTCACCAGAGTCATGCTTGGCTTTGACCACTGTGATAAAGATTATCGGCTCATCAGAACCAAACGTCGCCCCAAAACGGCGAAGGCAACAAGCCTCCAAAAGAGGTTTTAACACCAAACGATTGGAGGATCAAGCGATAGCTCATGCTTTCAGAGAGCAGATCATAACAAAACCTGCAGAAAGACCCTCGGCCAGATCTAAAGAAAACACCAAGTTGATACTTTCCACTGGAAGAAAGCAATAGCCTAGTGCAAATTTTGCGATCTAAAGGACGAATGTGAGAAAAATAATGTGTGTAAAACGCCAAAATTTGCGATCAACACAAGATGCGCAAATTGTTCAATTCCACTAAGGCAATCTATGGCCCAGCTACTCATGGTGAGGCTCCCTCCGCTTATCCGTTGGTAACTCCCTAATTAAAGACGAAGAAAGTATCCACCAGCACTGGAAAAAACACTACCATTCCATGCTCAATCGAAACACCGAAGTGGATGTCCTGACTATCCTGCAGGTCCCTCAGCACCCGGGGCTGAACTACCTCGACTATCTTCAATCTCGTGATGAGGTAGCTACTGCCATCAAGCAGATGAAAAATAACAAAGCCACAGGGCCTGATGGAATCCCAGCCGAGGTGTATAAAGCAGGAGGACCTCTGCTTTCCAGCTGTCTCCCCTATGATCAATATTTATAAGAACAAGGGAGACCGATCAGATTGTGCCAACTACCGCAGGATCTCGCTGCTGTCCGTAGCTGGCAAGATTGTCGCTCGAGTTCTCCTTAACAGACTTATTCCTGAGGTGGAAAACTTCCTCCCAGAATATCAGTGTGGCTTTAAACCATCACATGGCACCCCTGACATGATCTTTGCTGCCCGCCAGATGTAGGAAAAGTGCAGACATGTAAATGGCCTTCATCTACCTTACTAAGGCCTTTGACTCGGTCAACAGGGAAGCCCTCTGGCGGATCCTCAGTCGTCTGGGTTGCCCACCCAAATTCATCGCGATTTTGAGGTAACTCCACGATGGCATGAACGGCAGTTTCCTGCACAATGACACACCTAGCCTGACTTCTCCATCCACACGGGGGTAAAACAGGATGTGTACTGTCACCAACTCTCTTTTCCATTTTCTTGGCTGCCTTCCTTACTAGGGCCAGTGCCAAGTTAGCCGGCGGGGTGGACATTCAATACCGAATGATGGGACTTTCGAATATAAGACGACTCCACACATGAACAAAGGTGTCGGCCGCTTCCATTACTGAACTTCAATATTCAGATGACCTCACCCTCGTTGCTCACACCGAATGTGACCTACAGGATATCCCAAATAAATACGCAGATACGAATGCACACTTCAGCCTTGAAGTGAATGTACATAAGACAGGGATTCTCTTCCAGCCTGCCCCTGGTTTAGCCACACCTCCACCATCCATCCAGGTTAACGGTACTATCCTCTCTAATGTTAACCACTTTCAGTACCTTGGCTCCCACCTGTCCACCACCGCAGACAAAGAAGAAGAGATTCAACATCGGTTCAGATGTGCATCCCAAGCTTCTGGCAAACCCCGCACCCGCGTCTTCAGCTGTAGGGACTTGATATTATCTACAAAGTTGCATATATATCGATCAGTGGTCCTCCCCATCCTGCTGTAAGCGAGACATGGGTCATATACAGTACAGGAGGCATCTCAAGTCACTTGTAAACTTTCACCAACGTAGTCTACGTTCCATCCTCCGAGTTCGCTGGGAAGACAAGAAAACAAATGCCAGTATTCTCTCTGACACCAACTGTAGGAGCATCGAGGCTGCCATCATCTATGAGTAACTAAGTTGGACTGGCCGTGTTACCCGCAAGGACGACAGTAGACTGCCAAAGCAGTAAACATAACGCTGGCGGGCAACAGAAAAAGTTCCAAATCGATCCCCTCACCTGGGAGACGATCACTCCACACCCTAACTCTTGGAGGAGCACTACACGGGGTGTCAATACTTTCGAGTTAGCCCGACTGCATACAGAGGCAGACAAGCGCCAGCACCAGAAAGACACTGCCGCCGCCTCTCCCGCACTAGATGTAGCTCTCCAGACGTGCAACATCACTGGACGGCCCTGCCGGTCCCGTATTGGCTTCTTTAGTCACCTCAGAGCTAACCAACGAAGGTGACATCCCTAATAACTCATTCTTTTGAGACAGCAAAGTAGTAGTAGTAGTGTTGTCATGTGTTCTCTGGTGTTGCCATGTGTTCTCTGGTGTTGCCATGTGTTCTCTGGTGTTGCCAAATGTTAGCTGGTGTTGCCATGTGTTCTCTGGTGTTGTCATGTATTCTTTGGTGTTGTCATGTGTTATCTGGTATTGCCATTTGTTCTCTGGTGTTGTCACGTGTTATCTGGTGTTGTCATGTGTTATCTGGTGTTGCTAGGCGTTATCATGTGGTGTTAAATGCTATGTGATGTTGTTAAATGTTATATGGCGTTATTAAATGTTATGTGATGTTGTTAAATGTTATGTGGTGTTGTTAAATATTATATGGTGTTTTTAAATATTATATGGTGTTGTTAAATGTTATATGGTGTTGTTAAATGTTAAATGGTGTTGTTAAATGTTATATTGTGTTTTTAAATATTATATGGTGTTGTTTAATATTATATGGTGTTGTTAAATGTTATATGGTGTTGTTAAATATTATATGGTGTTGTTTAATATTATATGGTGTTGTTAAATGCTATATGGTGCTGTTAAATGTTATATGGTGCTGTTAAATGTTATATGGTGTTTCTGTGTGATATCTATGTGTTATATATTTGGTGTTATCATGTGCTATCTGGTAAGTTTCATGTGTTATCTAATGTTGTCTCATGCTATATGGCGCTGTTGTGTGTTATCTTATGTTGCCACGTGTTATCTAATGATTCATATGTTATTATTGTGTTGTTATATGGTCTTGTCTTGTGTTATCTGGTGTTATGTAAAAGGAGTTATCATGTGTTAATCAACTGTCGCAATTTATAATCTCGTGTTATCCTGAATTGTGTTGTGTTGTCATGTGTTCTCTAGTGTTGCCATGTGTTATTCAGTGTTGTTATGTGCTTTCTGGTGTCGTCACGTGTTATTCAGTGTTGTCATGAGTTATCGAGTGTTCTTAAGTGTTATTCAGTGTTTTCATGTGTTACCGAGTGTTCTCAAGTGTTATTCAGTTGTTGTCATGTGCTATTCAGTAGTGCCATGTGTTATCTGGTTTTACTCAGTATAAGTCGTGTTACCATAAGTCAGCTGATTGTTATGTCAACTCTGTTTCTTGAGGTGAATCCCCAACCTATTTCACTTTAATATTAACCCCCCTAACCTAACCTAACCTAATGCTAACCTAACCTAACGCTAACCTAACCTGATCTAACCCCTAACCTACCTCTCCCATGTAGCGTTAAGGTGTTTAAGTATCAGGTGGAGTATGCTGGGGATAATCTTCAAGTGATCCCAAATACTTATAAACATCATCTCTTTGTATCGTATATACACACACACACACACACACACACACACACACACACACACACACACACACACACAGACAAACACACACACACACACGCGCGTGCTCCTCAGAATTTCAACTAAATTAATCGCTAGAGGTGTGTGTTTTGTGTGAAGGTATGAGTGCGTGCATATGTATGTAAGTTGGTGTGTGCGTATGTTGGTGTGTGTAGTGACTAGTTGCATCACTGTCAGCATCCAGACGAGTGTTGTGTGCGGGTCGGCCAGGAGAGCATCCCCGCACCTTACTCGGGGACCACACAGTTAGCCAGTAAGATCCTGGTTGGCATTCTCACCAGGCTTGTGATTGGCTGTAAGAGTGTCTGTGGGTTGAGAGGGAGTGTAGACGGTGGCGGCCACCAAGTGTCACGGGGAGCACCACCCACCCACTACACCGTCAGGGTGTCTGCCGTAGTGTGGGTGTCTGGCGGCAGCGCGGTGGCTGCTGGTAGGGGCGTTGTGCTCCCGCTGGCCCCAGCTACCCCTGCTGTAGCTGCTGCTACTTCTGCAGCAGCTGCTGGAGGGCCTAGACTTGGGAGGGACGTGGCGCGCCAGCGGGGCTGGCCTTGAGCGCGGGCCGGTGCGCTGCATGCAACAAGGCGGGCGGTGGTGCAGTGCATGTGCGGAGTGGCGGTGTGCACACGGCAGCAGCAGCAGCAGCTGGCCGTCTCGGTGCACCAGCAGACCAGCAGCCGCCTGACCGCGCGGCGTGCGTGCGTGCGTGTGAGTGAGGCCGGCCACCGCGCTACGCTGCCTTCTAACGTAAACACAGGAGGAAGGGGGCAAATGATCGTCTTCCTGTCATTGTGCGAGTGAGCCTTACGGTGCGGTGGTGGCGCCCGCTCCAGTCAGCTAGCAGGAGGCGCTGCTGCAGCTACCACCACCAACACCAACACCTCCAACACCATCACCTCCATCACGCAGTCACCACCAGCTAAGCAGCAGGCGTGGTGACCGTGGGCGGGGTGAGGGCGTGTGAGAGGTGGTGACACTGGTGAACGAGGAGGTGGGTGGGTGCCGGGCGGCAGCAGGCAGCCCCCAGCGGGGCACCACTGGCCTCACCCTCCTCACCACCACTCACTTGTTAAACAAGTGAAACATTTATATTTGTGAAGTGATGTGTTAATCATCTCCATAATAAATGTAACTCACGCTTAAGGAGAAATGTAACCAATACCTAATCCCTATTTATACGTGACTCAACAGATCCCAAAGAATATTGAGAAACAAAATAAAGCTAAAAATGAATATCCTACATTATCAAACTCACCAAACTTGAGAAAGAAGTGAAACATAAGCCATACTACAATGTCCACGTCATATACCGGCGACATACACCTCAGTGAATATAACAAGTAGTGACGGACACAAACATAACAAGACGACGAGCGAAAAATTTGGACAGTAAGTTGTGTTTGACAGAGGCTCGTGATGTTAGAGTGCGCATCCTTGTGAAGGGCGTGAGAGTGTGGTGCACGGTGTACCGCGTATCATTGTCACCAACCACAACTGATTACGGCATGTCACTGATTCTTACCATCCACCACGTGTCCTGCTTGTCCCTCAGTGTCACTACCACCACGTGTATCGCATGTCACTGAGTGTTATTTAGCATCAGTGTCAGCACCCACCTCGTGTCCCACCTGTCACTGAGTGTCAGCACCCACCACGTGACCCACCTGTCACTGAGTGTCAGCACCTACCACGTGATCTATTTGTCATTGAATGTCAGCACCCACCTCGTGTCCCACCTGTCACTGAGTGTCAGCACCCACCTCGTGTCCCACCTGTCACTGAATATCAACACCTAACACGAGCCCCACCTGTCACTGAGTGTCAGCACCCACCACGTGACCCACCTGTCACTGAGTGTCAGCACCTACCACGTGACCCACCTGTCACTGAGTGTCAGCACCTACCACGTGACCTATCTGTCACTGAGTGTCAGCACCCACATCCTGACCCACCTGTCACTGTCAGCACCTACCACGTGACCTATCTGTCACTGAGTGTCAGCACCCACCTCCTGACCCACCTGTCACTGAGGGTCAGCACCCACCACGTGTCACGCCTCACACCTTGTGATAGTTGCCTAAAATCAGTGAGGCTTATAACCCTGCTACAACCATACTTCATCTTCCATGCTGGTGTGGTAGATAAAATTTTTGAGGAGGGGTGTAGTGTGTGATGGGTGGTATAGTGGATGACGGGTGCAGTGAAGTGTGAGGAGTGTTGTAGTGGGTGAGTAGTGGTGTGGAGGAGCAGAATGAAGATAGTGTCATAGTGTTGCCACAGGCGTGTGTGGTTGTGCCTCCTAGGACGCTCTTCGTGTTGCCTTGCTCCACACTGTGTCCGTGGCACTGCTACTGAACATTCACCCCCACACTCTCTTCAAGTGCCAACAAACTACCTTGGTACCACCCACGAGGGAAAAGAATAATCTATAAAATCATCTTGTGTCTGGTGGAGTGCGTGCGGCCAGGGAGAAGCGGGAGAGTGAGTGGGGCTCGTACGGGAGTGTTGGGCCTCCTGGAGGGAGCAGCACAGCAGGCTCAGACCCCCGCCAGACAGACACGGGCCACCTGAGCGCGCGAGCGAAGGTGAGTGACACGTCTCCCTACACTGTCTGGGAGACGCAGGGCCTTGAGCCTCCGTTATGTAGGTCTTCCGCTTATACTCTCGCTCCCACCTTCCCTACTCGGATTACTACTTAATTCTCTGTTTAAGTCCACGCTAATCTATCACTCTGAATTTTATTTTGTAAAACATGTTAGTAACATGTAAACGCTATTCTGGAAGTGAGTTTGTCCGATAGTGAGCGGAACGGAACGTACGAAATATAAAAGGAGAGTGAAGCGTTGCCCCGTTGGCCTAGACCTTGCCAGTCTCAACCCCGTTATAAGGTGGTGGTTGTCGGCAACCTCGCTGTTAGGAACGCCCGCGGTACAGCCTGGATTGCCTCCTAGAACCTTAAGGCCACTAGTGCAACAATACGTCAGTGTAACCCCTAAGTGGAGGTGCCAGCTGTGGGCTGTGGTTCTTCAACATTGGAGACAGTGGTGGAGGCCAGTGTAGCACCATCCTGCCTCTTGTATTAAACAAGTACAGTAAATGTTGGCGTGCTTGGGACACACCGTGTAAGGCGCCGTCCTCAGTCCCGTCAAGTTGATACTTGAGTCCACACGCATCACCACCAGGCGCTCCACTCCTAAATCATTTCACAAACACGTTATTCTATAACCCTTTACGTATACACGTCTTAGGAAACATAAATAAATTTCTTATTTGTTTTTCATGTTAAACCCATTTTAATATTTAAGACGGACTAAAGGCCCTTTTATGAGTGCTGGTTAGTACAGGTAATAGGTAATTCCACAGGTAAGTTAAGTTTAACTTAGCTAAGAAGAGAACATTGTGCGAGAAGATGTACACCACCACCACAGTCTCGTTGGCTCTACCTCACACGGCCACCTGCTGATGGGACACAGTGAGGGTTCAGGTACTACTATGGAGCTTGAGATGGTAGTAACAGTGTCATCGTGTAGGATACAGTGGTGGTGGTGGTGTTGGCAGGGGTCGTGATGGTAGTACAGAATGGTAGTAACAGTGTCATCGTGTAGGATACAGTGGTGGTGGTGGTGGTGTTGGCAGGGGTTGTGATGGTAGTACAGAATGGTAGTAACAGTGTCATCGTGTAGGATACAGTGGTGGTGGTGGTGTTGGCAGAGGTCGTGATGGTAGTACAGAATGGTAGTAACAGTGTCATCGTGTAGGATACAGTGGTGGTGGTGGTGTTGGCA